GGTAAACATAGAAAGAGCAATAATAGTAAAACTCGAGCGTCACGACATTGCGAAGTGTCTGATCTTGTTCCTCGTATCGTACTCACTCGAGTCAATCCGAGATGGCCCGAGTGAAGTTTCATGCAAATGTTTCGTACGGAAAAAAAAATCGCATCCTGGTAACAGTTATAAGTCCTTATATGGGGTTAAACTGGCAAAACCTTCGGTGTTTACTTCATAGCACTTTCACTAAATGTTTACGATAATAATATGATTTTCATGAATAAGCTTAACTGCCAATGGGTATACACTATTTTTGGTAAATTTTAAATGAAAGTTAGTTACCAATGTTTATTTGTGGCACGGCTTTCTTTCTTGTTGTAGCCTGTTTTGAAAAATAAAATGCCAAAAAGAAGGTGAAATAGAAATTATGGGCTCATAAATCCTGCAGTGTTTTTGCTTGTTTTGTTGCTGCTGCTCTTCTGGAGCCCCCAGTAAATGTTGCGAGACTTCAGACGTTGGTGGAGCTGTTTCAAAATACACCCGATTAAATGGTGTATTTATGTAGGCGATATTTTAATCGACGATTAAAATACACTCCGGCACGGAATATTTAATATGACCTTTTAACCAGAATATTATGTTACGTTTTTCTCAACATCCCTTGTTAAGGGGATATTAGGGCAGGGTCAAGGATTCAGTAGAGGTACTTGACCTACGGGGCGGAAGCGAGTACAAGAAATTCACAACAAATCTGGTTATTTTAAAATCTGTGCGTATATTGTTCGTTGCCGATACAAAAAGGATGTTAGAAAATTCTTACTTACCATTGTTTGAAAATATACACCTCCCTCTGTAAGCTACTCGTAGTTTAGCGTCTTGTGTAATGCAAGCTACTACTCGGAGGACGCATTCAGACGAATATGTCACTCCATCTACTCCGCACACAGGGTCCGACACTAGAGGGCACTCTTCAATGCAATTTTCGGTTGCAGGACCAGGGAACTCTAATACAAAGTAATATATACCGTGCGCCATAAATCAATGAATTATGATTGATTAGAAAAATTGAGATTGGAATAATATATAAAACTCAAATATATTAAAGTTTGTAAACCACCGAAAATAAATATAATGTTTAGTAATGCAAATGCAGTAATGCATCTAATAAAATATACGAAAGTTATGAACGACATGTTTCGACGTGTCCCAAGTCATCATCAGGTAATAACGCTTTGCTACTAACGGTTTAAATACTACCGGTCAGATGTAAGACGAAACAAGCAAATATTAAGGTAAGTAATGTATATAGAGGTCAGGAATACTATAGTAAGTCATGTAAATAGGAATTAGAATGAATTAGAATGAGAGAGTGATCTTGTAATGAGTTGTTTGTTTGTTCAGTTACGGATTTCCCCAAGCAATGTATAGGGCTTCTATTGATAAGTATTGTGGGCGGAGTCAATAATAGTAAAACAGTCTGAATTAGATGTGTTTTCACATTTAACATAGTTTTTCAAGCCATGTTCTCACTGTGTTTGACAATAAAAGTTGAATTGAATTGAATTTGAAGATGTTGAAATATATGTGATGACTTGTCCCGAACTAAATACTCCTTAATCCGTATTTCTAAGTGTCTATTTGTCTGTCCAATATAACACATGTATGAAACATGTCGTTCATAAGTTTCGTAAACATATTGTTACTTTCAAGTTATACCACCGTAGGCCTACGTCTAAAAAATCATTTCTTTTGCATTTCATCATCAAAAGCGTATTACTTGGTAGTTTCATCGGAACATTTTTTGTCGACACCTAAGTGTTACATCTTAGACTAATTGGTGAAATTCGAAACTTTATACAGATACAAATTTATTATCAATCACATTGTGATTGAGATACAGCTTCCCTAACAGCTATAGTTTGGTGGAATATAGATTATAAATAGGCCTAGAATTAAAATATATACAAAACTTCAGCTTAATACCATGATCTATCTGTTCCATGGTATCGATATATTTCCAAATTCGTATGTACACTATATTTTTAACAATTTTTTTATAAATTTGCTTTCAAATCAATTAATTATATAATTTCCTAAATGCATAATATGTATGTTTTATTTAAATAGGTTTCATTTTGTTTCAAAATGTTTGATATTTTGTTTGTTTTTATAGATCTAATGAAATTTCTTCGTGTTTACTTGTGTATGGCTAACTACCGTCTAAAATGAAGGCATCTTTTAAAATAAAGACAAACGAGAGAATATCAGCAGTATTACATTCAAGATGACGAAGAAAACTCTGTGTTGTTACGGGGCCACAAAAATCGCATACCCAAATCGGCCTCTTTGACCCCACTGAGGCCACGGATGTTCTCTGATTCTAATATTCTCAGCTGTCCTACTAAGTTTGTAGACACACGTTACTCAATATATATTATTAACCCCTAATTTACACAAAATAATTCAATTAATATTTTGGCAAGCATATGATTTTAAAGTATAATTAAGGCACATATTGGAAATAAACTTACAAGGATTCAGAAGGTTAAATAATTTGGCAATCACAACTGTATTGCGATTTCACGTTCGAATGTCCGATGTTTTTATTCATTTTTGTATAGCATACATACACGATAAAAGAATGTTGACACTTTAATGAGCTGCCTGTACGACTTTGTCCACATTATCAAATTGTCTTTACTGTCTTTGTCAAAAAAATGCTGTATACCCACATACATAGTCACGATTTAATTATTATATGGTCATGATGTGATGTCATCATGACCATATTTAGGCATGTCATGTGTCTTGTCAAATGAAATTTGATAGTCTGGACAGCCCTTCATACCGGTATTAAAAAAATAAAACTAAGTTATAATTAGTAAACTACCTATTTTTTGATAGATATTTACCTGTCGGTTTCGGACTATGATAGTCTGGGCGCGGGCGTGGACCAGGACCAGAAGGAATGCCTGGCATTGAGCCCACGCCTGGACGCGAGCCTACACCTGGGCGCGAACCAACACCTGGCCGTGAAGGTACACCTGGTCGAGATGGTATGCCAGGTCGTGGATTTACATCCGGTCGAGAAGGAAAATTCGATGATTCGTTTTCGATTTCTGATGATCTGGATTCTTCTGATGATGACGACGTTGATGATGATTCCGTGACGTCATATGATAATGCAGAATAAGATGAGAACCTTACCCAAGATGAATAATCGCTACCGTCGCCCTCATTTGTATACTCGCCTCCACATAGTCGTAATATATCTAGAACTATTACAAGACGAAAATAAACTACAGTAACTATTTTGTGTTTTTATCATCTTTGGTTTTCATTTTGGCAAACCAAGTAATTAATTATGATTCTCCAATTTCGAAATTCCATAATACATGCACTATTCAAACATATGAAGAACAGCATTCTCTCTAATCATAATATTTATAATTAGTTCTAAGCAATCCATACTAAGACCTAAAAATAAATGATAATAGAGTAGACATTAACATAATGATAGTTCTGTGTGCTATATGTTGGTTTTTTTTTCCATTTTTTAAACATAAAATTTATATTCTTTCTCGGTACCCGATTTAAATCCTGTACTTAAAGAATTGAATAGAACACATCGTTGAATGATTTTTGTTTGTGAGTCTAGCATATCGTGCCCGTTATGCGTCACATTGTTATTGATTGACGTTTGACGAAAAGTCTACATAAGTTTAATAGAAGGCATAACACACTGAAGTAATAATAAATTATAAAGTAACTTACTGGATCTCTTCCTTAGAGTTTCACTTTGCGTTACCGTCACGGCACACACCAGGAACCACATCAATAAACAACGCAAACTTAACATGCTGTACTCTTGAAAAACACACAGACATAAGTGGTAAACCAGATTGTTATATCTCTAATACGATAACGTAATTTGCACTATAAACTGAAGAACCAGCAGAATCAAAGATTTTCAATCTCCCTCACGATATTGCATTATATAGATTATTAGTCCTTTGAACCCAGTTGTTTAACTTTTAACGAATTTTATTAAATACAGTGCGACGTTCGTATAATCTGAACAACCAACTGACGTAGCAATTCGTGGACACTTCCTTTACTTTTTGTTCTCCAAAACTTACATTATGCATAATACATGATTGTTAAGTTCCTTAAAAACGATCGTAATTAGAAGGAGGGTACGATGTCAGCGACCTTGTTTATTAATTGCTGATTACTCACATGAATTTTATCGCATCATTCGATGGATGCGGCTTGGTTCAGTTTTCGAATAAGATAGGCCTATAAGCTGTGTATTAGAATAATAATTCCTGCGAAATATGAAATCAGATTAACTTGGGAAATGATTTTTGCAGCTGAATGAACTCTCATTGGGCATCGGTGTCATGACAGTTAATATCCAAGTATGTCTTAATCAACACGAACAAATTAGTTTCATTTTATATGTAAATTAGAAATACATGAATACATCACGTTATATTATAGTTTCATTATAGTTTTTAAGACAGGAATTATTATATTTCATTAGCCATGAAATACGTTGTATCTTGTTACCTTGACAGATTCAGGCTTATGTTTTAAAAAAGGGTAATCAGAATTATGTCACAAATTAAAAAAAACCGAATGAAAACGTATTTTCTGAAAATAAAAGATTGTCAATGTTTGTAGGCGAAAGTTTTTATGTTAAATCGCAAATCAACTTTATTATGAAATGTTGTATAAACTATACTCACGTGTCCCTAGAGTGTTACACAGCATACAACATATACTACCCTGATATGGTTTGGACTAGATGCGGTGCTGATAAAAATCAAGATAAACAATAGATGGCAGTATAGAACAGAATCTAATTATTTATAGAATCAAACTATGGTTTAATTTATAAGGCCAAAGGAATGAAATAATCATTTAAACTGAAAAAAAATAATATTATTCTGGAAAGAGGAAATTATTAAATGATTTAGCATACGAAGGCTCTCCAGCACGTACGTATACTGTTTAATGCAATGAGGAAATACCTATTTAGTTAAAAAAAGATAAAAATAGTTGGATTAGAGTGTAAGTATCATGCGCCAGGCACAAGACGTTTTGTTTCGTATTTGCTTATGATGCTCATAAAGTTTAAAATAAATAACTTGAGATGATGAAAGCATTGTAGCGTTTAAAAATCAGGCTATGGAGGAAAAATTGTTTGATATGTTGTAGAAGCGTTTGGCGCATCGGTTGTGGCTTGGACTCCCAACCTCGAGGTTGCGGGTTCGAAACTCTCGCTGTGCAAATCGCTTGCATCCTTGGGCAAGGCACTTTATCTACGGTTGCCTCTCTCCACCCAAGAGAATACAAGCGGGTACTACCGTAGGTTCGAACACAACTGCGCTGATTACTAGCTGCAATATTATGGAATTCTCCCTGAGTATGTGTTCCATATGTGTTTGATCCAATGAAGAGCTTAGAGGCATTGTGGATGAAGCGCTATATAAGAGCGACATATTATTATTATTATTTAAACTGAATGGTTAAAGACACAAGGGTGTTAACGAAAAAAAACCCCGGGAACTCGGGAACGGTTAATGAGATACAGATTTTCTGAATATAATATTAAAAAAACTGGTGGAAAAGGTGGAAAATAGATGGTTAAGCACCTTTTTTAACTAGCTTTTGAAGTAATAAAAAAAATCTGTATCTTATTAATTACTCCGCGCCTGACACAAAGTTGTGCATCGGTCAACCAAGTAGCGACAGGTCATTGTAATAATATGATCAGAATGATTTCTGTAAGCTCTCATTTTATTATCTTTTTCAAATCGTATTAAATGTTTAGAATTTCTCATGTAGACGAAGAAGACATACATGAAGAAGATACTGTGATATTTGTTCATCGTTACCAAGACCATATTTATTTTAGAGGTATGACAAAATTAAAAAAATAAACTTGTGTGGCGGATTCATGGGGGCCCAGCCCAGTCTCGCCCTCCCCCTAAATTTCTCAGAATAGGCCTATTAAAAAAAAAAGAAATAGAGAAAAAAAGAAAATCATATAAAAATTTAAGTCTGAGAGGCCATTTACAGGTGCGATAAATCAAGGGCTATTTTTAAGTATCCTTCCGAAACCGTGCTACGATAACTTCGCCGAGTGACCAGGGATAGTCCGGTGAAGTTAGGAAAAGTAAAGTCCGTGCGATGTCCCCGAGAGGAGAGGCCAATACGAATTGGAAGGGTCGATGTTTCTGATGAAGGTTCGGTCATGATCCACCCAAACCTTTGAAAATATAAGCATTTTTGAAGGTATGTTTAGTTGATTTTAGAGTATGGCAATACAGTATGTAGTAATTACAGGAATTGTGTTTCTTTTGTCATGACAATTTGTGTTGATAGTATCGACGGGGCATGAGCAGCAATCGCCCCTCAACACTCGATGGGCTGCCCGGATTAAAGCCTATATAAATATTAAAATAACAAAACTTACACAATAAAGATATAAGGGTTTAAAATTACTTAATTCATAAATACTAATACTAAATGATCGCCAAAACAAGCCTGCCCATGTTTAGACACAAGTTGGAACCTATCGTGTCTACATTCCAAATAATATCCGTAACGTAAGGACAGTGTTTTTAAGTTTTATTTCTCACACAGATTATTTAGATCTATACTTGCCGAAAGTTTGTTCGCGCTTCATTTTGACTGTAATGGTGATTTATGATGACGAAGTTTACTATATAAGAGTTTCATTTCCGGTCAACTAGATGTACTACTTCCCCAAATGTTTGTACCTCAACCCTAAGCATGGTGGGTCTGAGATGGATGTGGACTTACGGCTTTGAAGTGGGTAAAGTGATGACAATGTTTTTAAGTTTTATTTTCCAATTTACATCACCTAAATTATTTAGATCTCTACGATTGGCGAAAATCGCTGATAAAAGATCATGATAATTTATTGGTGCTTTATTTTTATTCTGATAATAAATTTTACTATATAAGGGTGTCATTTCCGGCCATCTGGTATTATTTTCTTAAATGTTGCCACTGGCTGAAGTGGGTGTGGACTTATGTCTTTGAAGTAGGTAAAATTAAATACATCAGACAATGTTTGGAAGTTTTACTTTCTATGGTACATCACAGATGTTAGTTAGATCTATTTGGTTGCCGAAAATCGCTGATTAAAGATCATAAGAAAGTTATTGGCGATTCATTTAGACTAATGGTATTGTGATGATGATGATGGATTTTACTATATAATAGTGTCAATTCTGGTCCTAAAGGTACTATTTTCTCTTCTCAAATATCTGCACCTCAGCCCAAACCATGGTGGGGCTGATGTGGGCGTGGACTCACAAAACGTCCCCCCACCTTTAAAATCAGATCTGCGCCCTTGATTGTTGTACCATACTAATACTTTGTACAATAACTGGTAACATTATTATTGATAGCCAGCAACAACATATGAATGAGTTTGTGAGAGGTGGAATGGACAACTTCGGTGGCGGTGGGGATAGAGTGAGTTCCAGGGGAAGAGGGCCGGAGGGGTGAGGCAGAGGGAAAAATTCTCCAGAAGCTTCAAAACTGCAATTATAGAATGACCTCACCCTAATGTTGTGCACAATTTCTACTGACTTGCCTACATAATTAATGGATTTCCCTCATAAACACTTATCAATTAGTCCTGAGTCAGACATTAAAATTAGTGATAATTGAACACTGACTAATATTTTAATCTAAAGACAATCTCTACCCCTGTTCCTATGGCCCCGATAAGTATGCAAATGAATCAACAAAAATTCAGGTCAGTAAACACTAATTACACTGCAAGCTATGTACACTGTATAGAATTAAGAAAGACCAATTTGTGATCTGGAGCACCCCAAAAGTGTTGGTTAATTTAAACAAGTATTTGCTCGTACCCTATAGAGTTGAGTTTTAAATCTTATATTAGTATCATAGAACAAACGTTACTCCGAATAAATAAAGAAAGGTAGGCAGTAAGGTTTGTTCTGTGTTATTTAAACATAATCAGATCGAAGCATGCTCCTATCCTATCCACAAGTGGTTCCATCAATATACAGACCGCCCTCTTTCGACGCACACGGCTTTTCGTAACTTTCGGTGTCACTCCACAACCGACACGACTTGCAATCTTTCTGGGTGACTTAAACTTTCATTTAGCTGACTATAAAGTATTGCCTTAGTGACGTTGCATCTTTAATTTCATAAAATATGGAAGGATCTGTCTCTTATACACATCTAGATGTGTATAAGAGACAGGTGTGTGTGTGTGGATGTGGGTGTATGTGTGTGTATCATATATGATTGCATTATAATGCAATGACTTAATTGCTTAAAGTACTTTTGTGGTTAAGAGTGTAAACTTAATATAACAATTACATTATACAGTTACATCCCCTCATTTGGGACACTTCTTTGACCGCAAATCGAAAAAATACAATATCTTTTTTTCTCATTAGCCAAACATAATGGACCATCATTATATTTGAAGGTTTCGGCCCAGTAGCTCAGTATTTTTAAGAATGTGTTGTACAGGTTTGTGTATTTACATTGATTATTATTTAATTAAAACAATAACAAAATAAATTAAACTAACCTAGGCTGACTTTGGAAATAATCAAGTTGATATTTGTTACTGCAGAAAAGTCTTACATCTTTAACCACCACCTCCAACCACAAATCAGGGACATACCAAATTAAAGGGTTCACGTCGACTATTCATGCGTGTCAACGTAGTCAACTATACCTGTTGACTACAAATGAAAACCTTTTAGATTTCAGTCGAAATGTAGCGCGCGCTAGGCAACCTTATTAAGCAGCTGTCATGGCGAACCTTCATGTCGTCTTTGCATATTCTACCGGTGTATTGGACGATGAGGAATTCATGTTTTTATACAATACAAATAAACCCAAAAATGCCGCATTCAGGTACCGAGATTATCAGAAATTTGATCTAGACAAGTACAACAATGATGAATGTAATGCATACTTCAGGGCGCATCCGGTGGTCAACTGCGATGCAGATAGTTAACAGGCCTCCCCGGCCGCACTTGCTGCGGTGCAAGTTTGCATTGCATGCACACTGGCGTAAGTACGCTCATGAATTTCCACAGCCTTTTTTTGTGTTTACGAAGGCAGTAGAAATTACATAACTGCCTGTGCATTAAAAAGCAAATAATACAGATTAATTCAACACAAGTTAGAAACTTCCCTCAGACTCTGTCTCTGCCTCAGTTGGACGAACTAGTGAAAGCAGCGTTGCCACTATATTTTCATCTTCCATGTTTAAACTTCACAAGCGAGCACGGCGTCCTAGATTTAGGACGACGGGAAAAACGAGGTGAACACGTTCTCGATTTTGGTAGTGGACGAGGGAGACGAGGTAACGCATGCGCAGTGCCTTAAAATGACCTCATCACGTAGCAGTCCACTATGTCGACGTGCAAATCTAAAAGTCCCTAATGATTGCTGTTACGCGCCTCGAGGTCGTAGTTAACAATTAAACAAGATCTATCATATATGAATAAAAACATGTAAAACATAATAAGCAAATGTATCGTTTTCATATCAGAAAGTCATAACAATTCTCTTTTTATTGTAATTATACAACATAGACCTATAAAAAGGTTTAAACATTAAGTACCGTAACCATAATTGTGGTTATATATTAGTACAGTACCACTAAATTATATATCGGTTAAGGATGCATTAAGCCATGGCACTCACTTCGACGAAATTCCAATGAGATCACAACACTACGACGCGCGGAACGGATCATTTTCAGTGACGATCCGTTCAGACCGCCATCGACAATCAGCAGACGGCGTGGCGTCGTGCACCGCTCACAAAGAGCGGAGTTGGATTCGTCGGACGACGCAGTGAGTGCCCGGCTTTAGACCACGGCAAACATGTTTTTGAAAATAAAGAATAACTGAACAAATAAATTTATTTTGTTTAAGAAGCAATACAGAATGAGAGTACTGTATGTTAATTGCAGATGTGTTATAATTGCCTTCAACAGTTTCCTACTACTGTGTTACTTGCTGGTCCTGACTCACTTATCTGATTGACATTTCCCATCGTGGGCAATAGAAAGATCCATGTCATTTTGGACACATTTAAATTTATTCAGAGCACATTCAGAGGTATAGCTTACTCGATCAGTTCCACAAACGGGTTTGAACATAGTCGAACAATCCAATAGGCAATCTGAAATTGTAAAATAATATTCATCATTGATAGCCTACATTTATACATCTATTGGGAAATGTACTTCACAATTAAATACAGATTCGCTAATTTATTATTACCATTATTGTTTACGTTAGAAATGTTTATAGAAGCACTTTAGATTGAAAGCTGTCATTTATATGGTAAAAATATTAAGTTAAATGGTAAATATGGTTGGTTCTTATGAAAACGTCACAAATGTAAAGCTTTTTAAGGAACTGATGTTTCGACTGAAGAAGCATCTGACCACTAAATATTATAAAATTAGAAAAAATGTTAATCATCCCTTTTACGAGTATACGTTACAAATTCTGGTACTTACCATCCATATTTGGTTTCTGTTGAGAGTCTTGAATTTGTGATTTCAAGAATGCCAATTCATTCAGTATATTTGATAACGATTGTGTAAGGTCTCTCGCCAAGCGATTCAATCGGTTTAACGTTTCACTAAGCATATCTGTTTCCGTAGGTGTGGGTGTTTCTTCGGGAATCTCACTACGAGAATTTGAAGTTATGCAGTATGTACTATTTGGACATTCTGAATTAGGAGAGAATGTAACTTCAGTGGGTTTTTCTTCACCAACCATCTCCTGAGGTGATTCCGGTAATTCATTTGATGAGTGGAATTCTGATATTGAATCTTTCTCTGTTGAAATTCTTTCACTAGAAGCAGTTGTCAATAATGAAACAGTTTCATCGACAGTCGGTTTATCAGATGTCGCATCATTTATAGATTGTTTAGACTCCTCAGTTTTCATTGGTGTTGGTGGGTTTGTTGTATGTGTAGTATGAAACTGTGATTTCTTTGACGGTATTTTACCGGATGTCACAACATTTGTCGGTGTTTGTCCATACTCATTCGTTGGCGTAGGTGTTGGTGGGTAGGATGTCGTATGTGACATCCTACGAAACTCAGAGTTCTGTGACAGCTTTCTATCACCTGTTCCGGGATTTGTCGGTGTTTGTTCAGACTCATGCGTTGTTTTTGTTGGTGTTGGTTGGTACGTTGTTGAACGTAGAGTAATATGCTCCTGTAATTTTTTTGCCGGTTTTTTGCATTTTCCTTTGTAATCTACAACAACATCTGTACCGAATGAACATGATTTCTTTTTTAGCGAGCACGCGGAGCTATACGTCATACCATCACTTCCGCAAACTTTATCATTTCTCGTTGGTTTCGGACACTTTCCACCACAGAATAATTCTAAAATATTTGGAAATAGAACATATTTTATAACAATAAAGCAATTAAATTATCTGCAACAAGAATATTTGTGCTATATTTAATATAATAATGAATATATAATAATATACTAATGTAGAAGATATTATGAATATCATGGACTGTGATACTTGTCTGAATGCGACATCTACAACTTTTGAAACCCGCATTACCATACAGAGAATCTAGATGCTCTTAGTTTTGTCTGAGGCGTGTTGGGGTCGACCATGAACTCGATAAGAAGAATCATGTAAAATATAAATTTAGGCCTCTATGGTTCTTGTTGAACTTCAACAGAGAACCATTGCGACCCACGGCGGCCGCAATACAACACCTAAATTTGTGTATACGGGGGACGCTGCGAGTCGGCAGTGTACCAAGTTCTTTTTCGTTTTATTATGGCGCAACATGTCATAGAGTCTAGCTACGAGCTATTTAACCTAAATTAATTGGCATCGTGTATGTTGGCATTTTTTATTGCATTTCATTGTGACTGCGGACACAATAGGTTAATTTTACGACGCCAGCATTTAAAAGTCATAATGTCCTATCGAGAAAGTTTTACAAACTTCTCCCCTTCCGATACTGATTTTCTCCCTTTTTAAACGATTTTCGAGGTACTTGCATCAACCCAAATTGTATATATATTATATGCTGTGACTGGCGTCATTTACGTAAATTAATCAGAACCGACAGAAGGATTTGAGAAGGTCAGACAAATAAATAAACATCAGCAGAGGTGGATAAAATTTATCTGCTTTTGTTTAAGTTTATTTGTATATGTGATGAATAGCATGCGCACAATTTCTAAAGCAGTGCACCCAAGTGTTAAATTAGCTATTCTAACTCCCATCTCTGAATAACTAGGACTTTTTATCATTGCAAACACTACGACCAAAATTGCTTCTCTGATCTGAATCATGAATGAAAACAAACCGTGCATAAATCCTAAGCAGCCGAGATACACTAAATAGGCCGCGGCTAAATGATTAAGATTTTAATAAAATTATTAAAAACATTTTACTCACTGCGCCCGACGGTCTTCGGCCAACGCGAGTCTATGGAAAACACAACGTCAAAACGCACGCGCAACGGATCGTTTTTAATATGACGATTTAATCAGTTCAGACTGCCACGGACAATCAGCTAACGGCGTTGCAACTTCCAGCGCTCACAGGGAGCGAAGTTGGATTCGTCATCCGACGGTCGTATGACCTCGTACGACGCAGTGAGTGCCCGACTTACGTATATTCGTTAACTGACCATTACATGTTTATGCACACGTCATGCAAGCGCGGCTGAACTTTGTCCACACTCAGATTTGATTTGACAAAACATGTGACATGCCTAAATATGGTTATGGTGACAGCACATCTTGACCAAATATAGACACATCAGTTTCAACTTTTTTTTAATAATCTGGACAGAGCTTAATTATACAGCAGCTCGTAAGAAATCTAGTAAAGATGTGCCTGTAAAAAAATCAGTTAAAACGTTTCAATTCTCAATGAACAAAAACATTACATAAGTTTAGATTTTGCCCAGATTGATAAAGTAAATATTTATCGATGCACAGACGTTTTACTACGAAAATAATTTCTAGCCAGTTTAGGGTAATTTAAAGCCCCATTCCCGGCAAAATTTCACTAAAAACTGACTTTTTTTTATAGAAAATATGCATTTGCATTACTCCAATTATTATAAATCATGGAAAAATATTGGCATGAAGTTTAGTTTTACGCAAAGGAAAAAAAAAAGAAGAGAAATACAGACTATTTCTCATAGAATATTACCATTTTCTCGATGAATTCATCGTTACTAGGCAAATTCAGAGGTTGTAGATCGCATCCACTATCGCGTTTATGTATCCTTTATACAGTCAATAAAGTGCGCCCTCTCTAATGAGATTAGTTTTTGAACTTCGCATCTCGCACAATGCGGTCGTTCGATTTGGCTGAGATATGTTTGTTTAGGTGTCGAAATCTCAGTAAGAATCAGTTCTTTAACAAATTTGAAATAATTCCTATGAAATATTCTATTTCACAATTGTCAATACTAGCAAAGGAACATATCATGTCGGCCGTTTTTATGTGTGATAACAGAACCTAAATAGAGGTAAGGCTAAGCCTAGCAGCGTTGGATAGGCTAATGTTTTCGGCACCTACGATATTTCTTCTCACGACCTATCGAAAAATCAAACATGAAAAATTCATCCGGGTTTATTTTTTGTGTGGAACACAAAAAAAATCAAATTTCAGTCTTTTTTGAAATTTTTTTTTCATTCTTATGAATGTCTAAATTCAGTTAAACTAGCAATTCCGTATTATATTTATAAATATTTATAACATTATACAAAAATTAGATTTTTCTTAACAACTGAAATTTTGCCGGGAATGGGGCTTTAAGAATATGGATGGTAGTATTGGTAGGCCTGTATTGTAAATGGTGAGGACAAAATTTTGTCATTAGAATTTTCAAATAAGATATAAAAAATAATTAAAATATATGTATGCAATTCACCTGGTTGATAATGTATCGTTCTGTTTGTTAGCTCTACGCAGACAGTATATAGGGCCTACTTTAATCAACGCGGCGCCAATACTAATATATATACTGTAAGTGTCTTAATGTTTGCACTGACGCAAATACTTACTTGTTGATAATAATTTGGTGGTTAGGTCTACAGTTGTTGGAGTGTTTGTGACTAAGGTAGGCGTTTCCATCACACTATCGGTGCCTTGTTGTAAACCTACTGGCGTAAATGTAGGTAGAGGAGTGCTTAAGCCATGTTGATTATCTGTTGTTTGCTCATCTTGGGTTACAGGTGTGTTGGAAGTGCTTACACCTGTACTATTATTTAAAGTTACAGGTGATGTAGATTCAGTTGTCAATCTATTAATTGGTGTTAATGTATGATTGTCACTGGGTGGCTTTTTATTATTTTTCTTCTTTTTCTTGTTTGGTGTTACTACTCCTACTGGATGAACCTCTTCTGAATCTTTATCATCTTCCGTACTGTCATCCTCTCCATTTCGGTAAGTCTCGGCAATAGCGTTGACAGACGGAAGATTTGAAGGTTCTGCACCGTCTTCAACTGAATTGTCATCATTGTCTTCTTCTGAGATCCTATTCTCCTTTGTGACAGGAATCGTCTTGCATCGTCCTTTATGAACTACACTAATGTCGGTGTTCGACAGGCACGCTGATCGCTTCAAAATGCATTTAGATGGGTACGTTAAGCCGTCACTGCCACAAACTTTGTCTCGTTTTGTAGGTAGTTGGCACTTCTTGTGGCACGTGTTATCTGTACAAAACAAACCGATGAAACGGACGGAATTAATTCTATACCCATTTTTACGTGTATTTACATTGTTCTGTCCTTCCCAGATGAGTACTATATTACTATATTTGTTTGAGTGAAGTCCATAAGAATTAAAATTATTTTAGGTTCTGGTTTTAGATAAAAACTAAAAACATAACAAACCAGTTCCAAAATTCCATCACCAGTCTTCAAACCTCAATAGCCATCCCAAACAAACTGCTAAAGTATATCATCGACTGTCGAGTGTATATTGTTAGATAGACGCCAGATAGATTTTCATAATGGCATATTGCAACAGTAAAGGAAATTGCATTACAAATTGAGATAGGACTACAATAGTGTTAGGAGAATTGTAATTAAGTACACCTGTTTCATCAATTAGCCTTTAAGCTTGTTACAGATCATACAATTTCAATGTAAAATACAATAGCCTAAGCGAGGTTCTCCAAGTCAAAGTTATGAACTTCTTTCATCATTCAACTTTGTCAACTTTGCGCTGGTATATATGTCTCTTATACACATCT